GATAATGAAGCTCTGGAGTTGGGCAGCAGCAGAAGGAAAGAAAGTGGGAGATTAAATGTCTCTCTAGTTGGTGGAAATGAGCTGAGTGTGGAAAGAGGTTAGAAGGTGATTGGGAGGACTTTTGTGTGGACGGTTGAGCTGCTGCTACTGCCATTAACTGAGAAAGAAAATATGGCTTGGAGAACAGGATTTATGCAAGAGAGGATAATTGTGTCCACAGCTAATATTTACTGAACATTTACGTACCAAGTTTATTCTGGTACTCTGTGTGGATTAACTATTTAACCCTTACAGCAGAGTAATGAAATTTATAACTTTCATTATCACTATTTTACAGATGAAAAAAATGAAGGTTTAAAGAATGGAAGTAACTTGTCCTAAGTTGCCCAGCCAGTAAGAAGCAAATCCCAGGCTATTGGGTCCAAGAAAATTTCCTTTCTTTATCTTGCCTAGCCTTATGTTTAACAGTGGGTAAATGGAACTATCTATATTGGTGGAGAGCTGAAATTCTGAAGGGAGGGAGAGAAGTAAAAGGTAGAGAAGTGCAAATGAGAGTTCCTAACACAATGAATAGTAGTTTAAGTGAAGGGAGAAGGAAAAGGGAAATGGAATGATGCTTGAGCCCTCAGAAATCTTCCTTGTCAGCGCTTGGAAGTGGCATGTGTCAAGGCAAAACTCGGTACAAGCAGACAGGAAGATGAGTACATCTGTGAGAACGCAGATATTGCCAGTAAGCCAGATGTCTTTGCCGGTGTTGAAACAAACATAGCCAAGAACTGAAAAACAGTCGTGAGATTTGGCAATTGAAAATGACTTCCTAGCTTCTGAGGAGGCAGTTTCAGATCAGTGTCATGGAGAAAACCCTGAGATCAGCAGGGTGGGCTAAGCTTCTCAGATGCAGAAGGGAGGTGATAAGTGCAGACTTTGCTGTTTTTATTGTGGCAAAAAAAGCACATCATGTGAGATTTACCTCATTAATAATTTTTACAATGATTATAATACAGCATTTTTAACTGTGAGTCTAATGTTGCACAGCAATTCTAGAACATTTTTATCTTGCATAATTGTAACTTTATATCCATTGAAAAGCAGGAAGAAGCTAGAGCTAGCTGAGGAGTATGGATTGGGGAGAAAGTGTTAAGGTAAGAAGCTAGAAACAGAACAAGAGTCTAGAGGGCAAAGAACAGTAGCCCTAAGAAGGAGTAGAAATGAAGGAGGGGTGAGAATCTGTGAGTTAGGTGGTTAAAAATTAGAAAATGGGGCCCTCCCTGGTGGCACAACAGGTTAGGATGCAGCACTGCAAGCTAGCACAGCCACTTCAGTACAAGTTCGATTCCGCCCCAGAGATGACCCACATGGTGTGGCAGACCTCTCCTGACCCGCCCGCTGCTCCCCTCAGCAGTGTATTTCATCGATCTGCCTGTTCTGCTCCCTACTAGAAAAGGTTCAATTTCTGGTAGGATGTAATATGGCTTCCTATATAGAATGGGTTCTAGAGTAGAGTAAAGCAAAAAGTCATGCTGTGGAAAAGGTGGGAGAAGTGAAAGTCTACAATGTGGAAAAAGATATGAGCTTCAATGTTGAAACCAGAAGTCAGGCAAATGGGGGATGAAATCTGTGAGCCAAATTTGAAATTCCTTAAAGGTGAAAAAATGAACATTTCACTGTTGTGACTAAAAATCTAGCGCTATGGTGATAATACCTGATGGGAATAGCCAAATATTTCTCAAGTAAAAAGAAATTAATTCACTTTATAAATCTTGGTGTAGTTGGGAGCATTTAAATATGAATTAGACATTTAATAGATTGTATTATGGAACTATTATAATTATCTTGGGTGCGATGATATTATTGTGGTTTAAAAATATCAGGCATTAAAATCATATTACCTGCATTTGCCTTCAAACCATGGTCAGCCATGGTACTACCCCTGGGGTAAGATGGAGGATGAAAGAGAAGAGGTAAACATAATCATGCAGGCCGTCATACAGCCAGGGCATGTAATAGGCTGTGTGGTCTAGGTTGTATCATTAACAACATTTGCTCCACAATAAGCTAGCTTAAAGATGCATTTTGCAAAAGTTATCCCTGTGGTTGACAGATGACTGTAGTTTATTTAAATTTAATTTCATGAGTATAAAAACAAAAACTTCTTCATTTAACAAAAGTTTCCTGTTATATATATCTGCCTATATATACATACATGTATATAATATGTACATAGCTAACATACATAGATTATTATATGTCTACATATATTACTTTTATTATATATAATTCCACCACAACACAGTTATTGCTTCACTTTTTCTGAATAACCAATGTTAGAGAAAAAGGTAAAGATGTCTGGGGAAAAGTTTCTAGGTAAAATATACTTATCAGCTCTGTTGTTGACTTATTCATCAAGTTTTATTTCTGCATCATGAAAATTATTTTGAAAATTCTGGGAATAGAAACAAATAACAACCACTTGACAGGATTTCACAAATACTTCTGCCTTCTACTTCAGATTTCTTCCAGGGATGACTCTACCACATAGAAATAATTATCAGGCAGCGATTTTGCATCATTCAAAATGACTGGAAGTGATCACTTCGTTGTCATGGTGTTGGATGATGTCACCCAAGTCCGCATCCAGTCAATAACTGCCTACCTCACCACAGCCAAGGAAAGCAGCTTCTCTGCTAACTGCCAGATGCAAAAATCTATTAGGTTATCAAGTTCATTTTCAACTCAAATAGCTTCATTTACATATTCTTGAGTGTTTCATCCACCACGCTTTTAATGGACTGAGTCGGCTGCAAGTATTTGGATTATTCTGTTTATTCTCCCTGGCTCTGAGCAAATTAGCAGTTTTCTCAGTGGCAACTCTAATATTCTGTTTAATTTTCTCTTCCATTCCAGCTAGTAAGTCACCTTTTAAAGTGAATCACTTTAGTTAGTAAGAAATGTTAGTAAGAATTGTTGTTAAAGAAAAGTATTTTGAAGGTGAAATTGCAAAGAATGAATAATATGGGCATTGTTATGAACACACTATTTAATTAGTTTATATTAAGGATTTCTTGTCATTGGGAGGGTTATTTCCCATTTATCTAACAGATTGGTTTGGTCATCTCTTTGATGCAATTTTGACTACAATTGTGTGTGGTAAAATAACATTAAAAATCAGTCTCTTGGGCCCTCCCTGGTGGCGCAGTGGATTAAAGCACAGCAGAAGCTAAAGCCACTCCAGAATGAGTTCGATTGACCGCCCCCACCCAGGTGACCACATGGTGTGACAGACCACTCCTGACCCACCTGCTGCTCCCCTCAGCAGTGTAGTTCGGCAATCTGCCTGTTCTCCTCACTCTGTCTCTGGTGAATCCTCTCACTGCCCTGCACCACTAGCCTGTACCCCAGTTCTATATGGATAAATAAATAAATCTTTAAAAAGAATGAATTGCAGATGTTTCTTATCTTTACTAGAAAATACAGATTTCTTTTTCTAAATTTCCCATCATTGTGTTAAACAGAATGACTGATTTCCAGAAGATTTGGCTACCAAGAGAAGGACTATCCTCAGGTATTTGCCCAAGTGAAAGGGGCTTAAACCAGTAAAGGTCATGTCCAACAAAAAATAAAATAATTAAAGCAGAATGTGGCTTGGGTTCAAATTCAAATAATTTTCTTATTAGATAATTTTCCAACGATCTCTGTATAGGAAGAGGAGAAGGTTGCAAATCTTTTAAAAATGTTTTTGAAGTTATTTCATGATGATTCAGTTTCTATTTCTGTTCAGAGTGCTAAGATTATTTATAATCTTATAACTGCCTTTTCCTCCAGCTATTTTTATATCATTACAAAAGAACTCCTTCAAAATGGTAAATTGCTGACACCCTCTTCATATTGGCTTAACTATTCCTCCTCACTTCATTGTTTATTATTATGTAAATAACCATATCATAAAATTCTCAATGCTAGCTCCCATTGAGATGTGAAGGTCAAGCGTACCCAAGAAATACAACCTTATTAAAATGCATTGCTTTATAGGGAACACTAAGGCCTGAACACAACAACACACAGCTATTAAATGAATAAAATGTTCCTGGTAATAAAATATTAACCCTAAGTTATCTTGTAAGCATCAACCACAACCTGTTACTGGAAAGAAGGGGGGGGGTGAGGAGGTGGAATAATTTTAAGCTGATGCAGAATAGATGAATGTAGATGAGCAGTGACTGAAGTCACTGTCCCTTACAAAACATTGCATGTTCTTTAAAAAATCAAAATCTTCATATATACTCTGACCATCTTTTGGCATCATTTGAACAATGTGTATGTGAGTTTCCAGAGAGGGCAACCAATTGAGTACTTAATGTTAAAACATTTGGTTAATAACTGAACATTTGGCATTCTCTTCTAACTGGAGAGAATTTCTTGGTTTTTGTTGTTTATTTTTCCCTCGACACTTTAAATATTTCAACCTACTCTCTGATTGCTTGGTTCCTGAGTAGAAGATGTACATAATTCTTATCTTTGTTCCTTTTTTTACTTTTTGTTTTCACTTTTTTCAGGATATTTTCTTTACTTTTATTTTCTGTAATTTAAAAATGGTATGCTAAGGAATACATTTTTTAAATACTTTTTATTTTTTATTTTTTTAGCATTTGTCTTGTTTGGTATTTTCTAAGCTTCCTAGGTATGTAGTTTGGTGTCTGATGTTAATTTTGTTAGATTGTTAGTCATTATAATGTCAAATGTTTGTTCCTTTCTTTTTCTCCTGGTATCGGCATCATGGGTCTGCTACTCCTTGTACAGTTATCTCAAAGCCCTTGGACATTCTGTTTTGTTATTTTTACTTTTGGGTTTTTGAGAATTTTATATTACATCCTTGAACCAAGAATTTCTTTTCTCAGTCCACCTAGGTTGGTGTAAAGTAATCCTTTTAATGAACAATACATAAATAGCTTAAAGCATAAAATTTTGGTTTGGTAATCTAATTGTATTTTATTAAACTATAGGAGCTGAATCCCTGGGATCAAGGAATATACTGATGAGAGGATCACAAATACCTTCGAGCAGTTCTGTGCTTCCTTTTCTCCAAAGATCAAAGCAACTAAGAACATATACTGTTCCAGAACTGGGCCATTGATGGAAATGTGGTTGGCTATAGGATCCCCAAATATTGGAGAATACATGGGAACAAATAGCCATCAGAAAAAAGGTGAGCATAAACATAATGAGCGGCCAGGCTGGAGTGGCAGCAAAGGATCTTAGTAGGCCTAGGAGGAAGGAAATGGGCAGCTGGTGGAGTACTACTCAATTTGTTCAAACAAAAGACAGCGAGAGGCGATGATTAGAAGGTTAAGGCCAATTATTACAGTAAAATGTCACAATCCTTTTTTTCAGTTTCGGAACTAGAGATAATTTTTAGAACGAGAATAATTTGACAAAGAAAAGGATGATCACCAGAAAGAAAATATTTTGCAATATCTTAGCGAATACACATTGTACTGATTTTCAAAAGCCTATTCCAACTTACTTGAGCAACTGATCCCTGGGAAGAGGAGGGCAGAAAAAATTTCTAGAGCTTTTAGATACTAGGTCTGAGTTAGTATTGATACATAGCAACCCAAGACAGCAGTTGATCTGAATGTGAACATTTGGGGTCAGATGATAAACGAATCCTGGCTGCAGCTGGGCTATTGGTTATGTGGACATATGAAGGTAATTATCCTTGTCCCCAAGTATATACTTGGAATAAATATGGTGTTTCATAAGCCTGTTAACATTAATTCTGTGGCCTGTAGCATAAGAGTCATTGTGGAGAAAGCCAGGCGGAAGCCTTTAGAACTACCTCCCTTCTAGCCAGGCTAGTAAATAAAAACATCTCATCTCATGAAATTAAAAACCTTCTATAGAGGGCCCTCCCTGGTGGCACAGCGGGTTAAAGCACTGCACTAAGAAGCTTAAGCCACTTCTGCATGAGTTCGATCCCCGCCTGCCCCGGAGGAGATCCACGTGGCGTGGCAGACCTCTCCTGACCCGCCCGCTGCTCCCCTCAGCAGTGTACTTCGTCGATCTGCCTGTTCTGCTCCCCTCTGCATCTCTGGCCTGTATCCCAGTTCTGTATGAATAAATAAATAAATCTTTAAAAAAAAAACTTCTATAGAAAATAGAAGATACAGAGAATTTCTCATCCTATATTGCTTTAATTCACCAGACTGTATCCAAAAACAGAATAGTTCTGGTGGACAAGTGTGACCTTCTACAAACTCGGTCAGGCAGTAGTTTATTAGAAACATGGTATCGGTCATCATTAGGAAGGAAATAGCTTGATCTGAGAGAAATAGTTTGCATCCATTTGGGATATTCAATAGTGTATGTATATATACACACACACAGAGTCGGGAAGGATGTAGACTCTGGGTATGCCACAGAACATCACATAAATTTGCTATATTGATAACATGCTAAAGGGAGAAGAAGCAGCACATGCATGGGTGATTTGGTAAAACTACAGAGTACTGATAGATATTTTCAGAGTCAGTTTTTAAGGCTGCAGCAATCTTGTACAGACCAGCAAACTCCCTTAAATTGAAGGACATGCATTATGTACCTCTAGAATGAAGCCTAATATCTGACAGGTCTCTGCAGGTTCTTGAGACAGCATATTTTATTCTCAAGACTATTACACTGATCCATTTCCTGGGTGATTAGAAAAGCTACCAAAATTGAGTGGGACTCAGAAAGGCAAAGAGCTCTGCTATAAGCCCAGGTTGCATTTCCAGTGACTCTGCATTTGGGGTCTTATAAACTGGCATTAGATGTGCTCTTACTTACGTCTGACAGTATTATAATAGTCTAGGAAAGACTTTGTTGTAACTTAGATAAAGCTGGTACCAGTTAAAAGTGGCTAAATACATTTGGAAGTTGACACTAACTGTATTTGCTGGTTAACTAGATGTGGCTTGTAAAAGAAAAAGATGAGTCAGAGAGAACAGATAGTTTCTCCATCACAGAGTATGTGTAAATATTTCATTATTATCTATAGCTGTGAGACTGATAATTCCTAGAGAGCTGTGATCTTATCTTACTTAAGTTTCCTAGACTGAAAATTTCCAAACTTAATATTGGCACACAGTAGGCCCCCAAAGGAAGTGTTGAATGGTATTTTAATACACATAGTAGAGTCAATGCAAATTTGTGATATAATTTATTCACTCAAAGATTACTTCATCAAAAGATTTAGTAATTACTTGTAGTTGTAGAATATTAATATTCTCATCTTGACTCTTTTTTTCCACAGAAATATAGGAGATAAATGAATAAGACATGACCTGGAATAGTTCAATGTTATTTTTCCTGATTCCGAAAGCACAATTATTGATTTTATTTTTATCATGGTTAGAATAATACTAACATTTGTCATCTCTGTCTTTTAGCACTCAGCTCATGTGGAACTATTAAAAGTTGCCCTTATAGATTGTGCCATAAATAAAACAGGGTTGCAGTATATGGTACAACATACCCTTTTAGAGGGTAGACAAATGCAATCTATATGCTGTAATGTTAGTATGACTGGGACATTTGGGTAGTGATCAGTAAAAATAACGATGAAGATACTTTATGAATGAATTATGTATCTATTGTTTTCCTGAAAAAAATTGTAGAGATGAACTTTATTTATGACTAGCTTCCTTTAAAAGGGTCAGGAAGGTTGATGTTTTATTGTGTGTTCTGGCTTCTCAAATCAATATTTATACTTTGTCCTATGCTAATGCAATCCTGTCCATTTGTTAAAATAAATAGTTAAAAAGTGACCTACTTACAATGCTCTTACTCAGCTTGCCTAAGGTTAGATATTGGAGAATTAATAACGTAGGATTTCTTTTTCCAATGGTGCTTTAAAGAACCTGATGAATGCATGACTAAGGTATTGTCACCCTTCCTGCTTTATTTATTCTCTGGCCAGTTGGTACTTCCAAGGGTCCTTATCTATCATGTAATGATTCTTGAATTAGTGTCTGAAGACCTTGTGAAGAAATATTTCTCTTTACCAAATTATAAGATTTATTAATAAGCTCTAGATGTCCTCTGTTTTGATCTGTGGCTGCTTTGCCCCACCCCCATCCTTTTTTATGAATGAAGAAGGTATTTTTATCCACTTGCACGTTTCTCTTTGGTGTTCTTTTTAAGCTAAGATTGTCGTGGCCAGCATTTTCTTTTGAATAATCTTAATTTAACAGTGTTAAAATTACAGAACAGATATACTATCCTTCTTTTTACCTGTGCCCTCTGGCCACTTTGGGAAAAAAATAAAGACTCCAAGTTGCAAACACAAAGCTGCATAGCTGTTAGGTGTAGCAGCTTGACAAGAAATTCATCAGTTGAGCCCACCATTTGTCTCATTTGATTGAAAATTATCTTAAATCATTCTTGTTTAACAATTCCAGGAAGTTCAGGTATGATTCATGAGAACCCATTTACCAATGATTATTGTTGTTTTTGTTGTTTGTTTGTTTTATATTTTTAGGTGGCTCTCTAAAAGGAATATGAATGATGTAGATTCTTGGTCAAGAGATGAGGCAATAGATTTAGGTTTCAAATGTAAATAAAGCAATTTCTAAATCTCCCAGTAGGGGTTGAACAGGCAAAGTTTCAATCTGTTTCATCAATCCCATTAACAAATGATGGGATGATATAAGGGAAAGAATATTTTGTCTAACTTCAAATGAAGCCACTTACTTACATTCTTAAAAATTATGGACAGAATATACTATGAAAATGAATTTTTCCTTAAATTCATCATTTTCTCATTACATTTGATTTATATTAAGTCACATTGGTGGCCCAAATAAAATAAAGGAACACAATTTTTTAAAAAAAATCATTTTTGCTTATTTTAATATTCTCTCACGATGAGAAACTGTGAGTGATATCCAACCAATTATCCTCAAAGTCCCTGAACTTTTACTAAGTGAATATTAGTTATGAAATACAAAACTAAAACAAATTTTTATTTGATTTTTCCATTCAGTGAAATGTTTATAGTGCTTTGGGAAAAATATAAATTCAGTAAATTATAATACAGTTACCACTGAAATAATATAAACTAGAATTAGAAAACACAGATTTCCTTTTTTGTGCACTAAGTAGGTTGATTTATGCAATAACTCATTGAAGCCCTTTAATAAGTACTATTATTACTATAAAATCTATTAAAAGACTTATTATTTATTTTTCAACTCCTTAGGTCAATTTGAATATCGATGGGGATGATATGAATGATGGAAGTGAGATTCATTGCAGGATCATTATTTGCAGAAGCAAGACATTTTTGTCCTGTTCTGGTTAAAATCATACATATAAATAACTTCCATTTGAAAGATGTTTTATATTTCACAAGTTGCTTTTCCAAATATCAGTTCATTAGGTCCCTGAGACGATAACCTAGCTAGGATCTAGAGAATATATATATATATATATATATATACATACATACATACATACATACATACATACATACATATATACATACATACATACATACATATATATATATATATATTCACACACACACACACACACACACACACTGCCATTCTTCTCTGAGAAAACGGAGCCTACGGAAAATTCAGTGATTTGATGAAGATTAAAAACTAAGCAATCCAGCAGGTATTCACTCCTGAGTCTTCTGATTTCCAAACTATAAAGTCCTGGGGCCCTCCCTGGTGGTCCAACAGATTAAAGTGCAGCATTATGAAGCAATCTGCAAGCAACTGCAGCACAAGTTCAGCCCCCTTCCAGGGAGATTACACACATGGTGCAGCAGACCTCTCCTGTCTCACCTGCTGCTCTCCTCAGCAGTGTATTTTAGTGGATCTGCCTGTTCTGCTCCCCACTCTATCTTTGCTGAAACCCCTCAATGCCCCTGCACCTCAGGTCTGTACCCCGATTCTTGTATACATAAATCTTAAAAAAAACAAAACTATAAAGTCCTGGCTTGGGGGGGTAATGAACACTCAAGTAGAAAACTGATTCAAGTAAGAATGTGTCATCAAGAGCATATTGTTGCTAGGGGTGGAAATATTAAGGATAGATTCATATACATTATTTATAAATATTATCAAAATAAATCCCGTTAAATATTATATCATCAACTCCATAGGATCAGTGTTCTTCCTAACATCTTACAACTTTGAAGAAGCAACATATATTGAG